GCAGAAGTCTAAATTGTATTCTGCTGAAAATTTCTTCTCGCGTTGTCAATGTTCAACCACTGGCGCGATGAGTATAAAAGAGTATGCAAGCCAAGAAAACAAAAAGGTGTTATTTTCGCACCTTTTTACGTTTGACTGATTTCACTTTTTCCGCTTGAAGTGCGCAGAAACAGCAAACGCAGACAGAAAGGCAAGGTAAAAGGACTTGAGCGGCAGATTGGCTGATGCAGTATGGAAGATGAGATAGGAATATAAACAGTAGCGTCAGGGTTGAGCAGTTTATGGCGATTAGCGGTTTAAATTTATAGAGTTTCATTTTCGCTTGGTCAATGACGGGTGTTGCGTAGTTGGCCGGCAGCACACTCTGGCACATGAATATGATGATTATTGTTCTACTGCTAAAAAAAAAACCAATTAAATAAGATAAGAAAAAAAATTAAGACATATTGCAATGAAGACACCGCTCGATGTCGAGAGTGTGTAGAAAGGCGGGTTGGTTTTGGTATTCTTAGACTATTGTCAGGCTCGCGTTTTTGTTTTTTTTTTGGTCTATTGAAGCAAAGAAACCTCGCTGTTGAAGGCAAAACAATAGGTGCAATTTTCGCACCTTTTTCCGTTTCAGTGACTTTATTCTCCGGTTGGCCACAAGTTCTTAAACAAAAAATGTTCATCACTGCATTAGGTGAGTGAAAAAAAAATGGTGACTTGTTTGGACTTGCTTGTTTAAACCGTCGTTTTTTGTTCCTTTTTTTTTTTCGAAACGACTCCCTACCTTGCGCGCGCTCACGTTTCTCGTAGATTTGCTTTTTTTTTTTATCCGCTCACGCGACGCCGTTCAAAAATAAACGGGTCAAAAGGTCTTAAATTTTATCAGTGGTACTTGCATATAAAGGCCTCGTAAACGCAAGTCATAATCACTTTAGATTATCCCTTACTGAGAGAATAGCTAAGAACATGAGCAAGTTTTACGAAGTCTCGAAAGTGCTCGATAAGCGTACAGACGCCCACGGTCGCGTTCAGTACCTCGTCCGCTGGCGTGGCTATGGAAAGAAGAACGATAGCTGGGTGGGTGAAGCCGACACAAACGAGCGCCTTAAACAAGTGTTTAGGACACGCCACCAAGGAACTCTGGGCTTGCTGCAGACCTTAGCTTTGTTAGTGGCAGAAAAGCTGAACATGAAGAAACCGCCAACAACCAGCATCGTGAGACGTTCGTCTGTCACCATGCCGATGGATGCCGAGACCTTTAAAGAGTTGTTCGGTGGTCTTCCTTCCGCGCCAAATCTTTTGCAAGCGACAAAATTTTCTGTGCCCATTCACGAGCTTGACGCCATAATGCCTGCCGGATGGTCACTAAATACTTTCAAAACCTCCACGACTTGTCGGTTTCAGGGTATCCGGTCGTTTCGCCTACGGGTCGTTTCGCCCACGGTCTGTTCGCCTACGAATAGAGTCGATTCGCCTACGTCTTATATGTCAGTTCGCCTACGAGTCAGATGTTGAAGCTTTAAATCGGAATTATTAAGAGTCTTTGTTCCTTGTATTATTTCTTCCATTCTATCCTCGATGGCTAGAAAAACAACGCGCTAAAACATCTAAGTTCGAATGTTTTTAAAAACTTTATTATGGCGGAACCCGGTCGTCTACGAATGTGTAAAAGATATTTTGCTTAAAATGAATTAAGAAACGTGCAATTGTAAAACTGAGCATTAAGATGTGTATTAAAATGAAATTAACCACCGTTTACGGTCTTTGTGTGGTCGTGTAAAGCGCGAGCAGAGTAGTAAACAAACCACTGTTTACGGTCTTTGTGTAGACTCGTGAGCGGCGCCTAAACTAAAGAAGGTGAGACTTTTCATTAACATATACGAAATTAGCTTCGGCTTGACTTGACAGTCGGTTCAATTTCTGCGTCGATTTGGCGGGTGACTCGTTGAATCTTTTATCTCTATAAACTAGTTTATGTATGTAACCCTAATAGATAGCAAGGGTTACATGTGAATTATTTTATCAAGGGGCGGGTGTCACTAGGACAACCCACACGTTCCCGCATGTAATAAGTGTATTAGAATTAACACAGAGTGCGGAGGAGTAACATAATTTGTAGTTAAATTTTATGATCGCTGACGGTTTGATTGTCGATTATACAGTTAACACAGCCCCCCCGGATTATACAGTTAACACAGCCCCCGTCGCTTGTAAAGACGTGGTGCGGAAAGTAGTATTCGGTTCAACCCTTCTAAAGATCTCGTTCTACAGTGAGCGGAACAAGCAAGCCGAGCGAAAGCCCAAGGAGCGCACGAGACTAACCTGGGCGAAACCAAGATCAGTCGCCAAGTAGAAAACAGTGGCAAGCACTTGTTTTCTAAAAGCGGTTTCGGATCATATGAAAATTAATAACAGGGTACGTTGATATATCAGCCTCCCGAGTCTCAAGAGAAATCCGGACAGTTACCACGCTATAACCCCGGTATTTCCGTTGCAAAGAAATATAGCCAGTGGAAGAGAGCCAGCTCAATTATCTTACACAGAAGAAAACAAATTCTATGTGTAGAGTCCAGTAAAATATTAGAAACTTGGTCGCAACTACGCTCAGAGCGAGCGATCTCGCGTGATATAAAAAAATAAATAATCTATACAAATAAATTTGTAACTTACCGTCCGTACGTTATAAATTAAAGTTTGTCCTCAAAACTTCACATTTTCCCTCGAGGCTCTACTTCTCGGCCAAGCATCCCTAATTTTGGACAATATCTCAGCCGTGGGCATTATCAGCCGATTTACCAGCCGCCCGAAGGGGTTTATTTAGTAATTAGTTGTATTTCAAAACAAGCCAAATGTCAGAGCCGTCGGAAAAATCTTCAAACGATCACAATTATATGAAATCGACCGTCAAAGGATATGGTCATTGTTTCAAACATTTATACCACGAAAATACAGTATATGGGATCTTTTTTTTATCAGATTAAAGGTCTTAAGTACTCCAGAAAATATCGGTGGCTTAAAGTAGTGTCGTGCCATCATGAATAAAACTATCTGAAGTACTGTAACCATGGTTACAAAACAGGAAACGTTGAATAAGAGATGAACAGAAGCGCTTTAGTTTTTCTTCCTAATCGGTCGTTCAAATTGCTGATATTCATCAGCTCATGGTTTTGGTCTTTTATGCTTTTGATAGTTCAGTAGAGGGTTTTTGAAAAATGCCAGAAAGTCAAACTCTATGAAAAAGCCACAAATGATTAGATGTGGATGATAATTGTTGGAACACAAACGCAGTAGAAACTAGTGTCAAGTTTGACAATAGAAAACAGTAATATTTCTAGTTTAATATCGTGTTTGCTTAATTTAGAATTATTTCCTTTTATAATTGGTGGCTTATGAAGTTCGTTTAATGCGGGTTTCGAGGGAACGTCGCCAGAAAAATCAAACACGAACATTGAAAAAAGAATTAAATGGCGAATCATAAACACTAGTGCGAAAAAAACATAGTGGGGGAATAGTTTCTGAAAAAAATTTAGAGATTCCCATTGACAGCTTCAAGGAAAAGCTTGAACTGTGTCGCTATAATTGAAAACTATGAATTGATCGTGATCGCATTGATAAAAAAACTGGTCTCCATAATAGCTGAAATACCTTTTCCCTCTCAAATTCAGTGCCAGGTAGGTCTTCGGCATTTATGTTTGAGCTTTGTCCTAATTATCGTGGTACTCAGTCGCAAGCAAGTAATTCCCTCAATTATGTTATTGGTAGCATTGACGCGGTCCTGCTAATGGGTTTATTTCATTCCCTTGAAGAATGTGGTGGAATCAGGTGGAATTTCTCCATATTAAAGTTTTATCTTTCCAGATGAGTTACTCGCTAAAAAGGCACATTTAGTGGAAAAAATGGATCATTTTAATAGAATTCGTCTGTACTGGAGCACATGAAATTTTTTAATCTACTCTATTAATTTTATTGTCAAAAAACCAGGTGTGTAAGTGCTGTAGCTATGGACTACAGAAGAAAACCGCCGCTTTATAAGCGATGAACACAAACGCCACTGCCCTTCTTGCTGTTTGCAGCTGTTTAAATTTAGGGCAGTTTTCCAGCTCACAAGTTTTCTCTTTTTTATGTGCTAGACTAGTTTTTACTTTGTGATCCAATAATTTGAAGTCATTGAATTACCGTCGCACAAGAGGCCTTTGAAAAATGTGGAGAATCAAACTCTTTCGCAAAGTTGCAAATAACTTAGCTTGGTAATTGGAAGATCAAAGTCAGTACGTGAGCAATTTTTCAGCTGAAAAATGTCCAATTAACTACATATAGTTACATCTTTCAACACAGAGTTGAGAGAAACAAAATAAGAATACGTTTTGATTTTTTTCTGTTCGAGAAAACTCATTCTGACATTTTGTATTTTAACGAAGTAATGTAGCATAATGCACTTTATGAGCCCTTTTCCTACGAAAGTGACGTTTAGTATTCATGAATAACAGTAATAATAATAAAAATAATACGTAATAATACGTAATCGTAGGTAATCATACAATAAGTGGAAATTATAGAACATTGATTGCAAATGAAGGGAATCTTCGAATACTACAGAACCTTAGGGGAGAATAGGTCCAACCAAGAACCCTCGATCCCCCCTCCCCCCTTCCCCACCCCGTGATAAATAATGACGGGTCACTTACTCTTCATAAAGTCTCTTTGAAAGAATAACACCCGTGTACTAAATCGTTTAATGTTTCGAGAAGCTGGTGATAATATGAGACAAACCTTCTACGTTTTTTAAAACGTATAGCAAGGGGGATACATCCATCCCTCAATAGAAAAAAATTACGAGATGAAACCCAAAACGAAACGAAAAGAAAAACAATATATACAACCTTAGAAAGTTCAACGAATGTTCACTAAACTGGCAAACCCATCAATGTCTTTTTTTAGCGCTGAACAGACTTGATCAAATCACTCGTTTCTAAGTAGGTTCTTAATCAAAATTATGACATAAATATGATAGTTCAGAAATTCTCTGGTCTTATTTTCATCTCGGTTCTCTTTAGGGAGTAATGATAACCTTTCCAGCCTTTCCAGTTCACACCATCAGCATAGGAAGAGTGATTGCCACGATACAAGCCATTGAGATTTGACGCATGGCACGCGCTGTACCACCAGGCTCCTTTGAACGCAATGGAGTTATCGCAGTTACGGTTTCTGTGATGATCATTATCGTGATCTCCAGTGGTGAATGGCCGATCACGAGGGAGAGAGGAACTAGCGTTTCCTAAAAAAATTGGAATTAACGGTAATACAAAGTCAATAAAATAAAAATTTACATAATCCTTATCAAACATCCCTGTGAAATGAAATCGCTAGCTTGATATTGCTAATAGATTAATAATTATCAGACTTGAATTGTTCCGTCGGGCTAACAGGACAAGTGAATAAAGGGGTAAGTTTCTAAAGAAACTGTGGTGCTGCGTCGGTGGGAGAGTATAGCAGGTAATTTAGTGTTAACAACTGGGTTGAAAACGTAAATTAGCCACCGTAAAGGGTAAAAAAGCTGACGTTTCGAGCGTTAGCCCTTAGTCAGAGCGATTGACGAAGGGCTAACGCTCGAAACGTCAGCTTTTTTACTCTTTACGGTGGCTAATTTACGTCTTCAACCCAGTTGTTAACACTAAATTACCTGCTAACAGGACAAGATCCATCGGCGAACACTTTCAGATTTAATCAACGTCTGGTCTGCACTGTCTAGGATTATTGCATTTAGATGGGCTTAGCTTATCATTTTTTCCATCTTTGGAAGCCATTGCTGTAAAAGAATTGAAGCTTCTTTATTCTAATTTACGCTCCCCTCCCCCGTAATAATAAAAAGGAAAAATACCGCTATACCTGAATAGGAACCGCGAATCAGCCTGTACTTGTCATTCTCACTCTTGACGTCAAACGTGTTATACTCGGCATAAGTTGTGTTACCTTCAAAGTCTTCCAAATCCACACGCAGCATGTTGCTATCATTTGAGGTCAGGCGGTGAATCTTGTCCAGTCCCATCCAAAATTCACTTGTGAGGTCATCAAAGCCACATTTGTAGTCGTTCCAGTAGCGGTAGAAATCAACCGAGCCGTCCAGTCTCTTCTGGAACACAGTCCATCCTCCATCCTCCGCTGTTTGGTCACAGAATACATCAAAGGCAGGCAAATTATCAGGTTTAATGGTGTACACGCCGTCAGTAGGTTTATCCGCGGATTCGTAGATTTCTGCGCAGTTTCTCTTGACTGAATATTATTAAAAACAAAAAGCAACACAAAACTCTCACTTTAATTTGTTTGGATGTTGACGCTTTTCGTTAGCTCTCCTGACTATTTATTCTGAACATTAGTAGTAAACTAGTACCATTTCCTTTTTCCTTAATATCTACCAGCTACATTCATTTAAAGTTTCATTAATAGGCTTTTCCTTTTTAGCTTTACTTCAGTGGTTAATATTTTGTTCTGGAAGTTAAGTTTGGGAATTTAGTTAATAACTCCTCGCATACTACACGAGAGAATGGCCCACATAATGCAGACATTTCACCTTCAACTTGGCAGGTTTCTCCGGTGAATCTTTCCCGACAGACACAACGAAAACCTTTATTGGTGAATCCAGCTTGACAGATGCCCTTGTTTAAGCATGGGCTGCTGCTACATGGATTCTGTTTACAAAACGAAGTAAACTTTTGTGCAGATCTTCCTAATGTCAACAGTAAGATCACTTTAGTCTAAGAAAATGAAACAATATCTTCTACCACCGTAGTTTCGTAAGAATGTGAACTGTTACCTCGATTGCAAGATACGTGTAACCCGGATTTTTCACGAGAAGAAATGGAGCATGGTTTTCCACCGTGGCGTTATTCAACTCGCATTTTTGGTTTCCTCCCGCAACAGGTCCAATATTGATGGACACACAATTAGGCTCCATATAACACATTAATCTGCAACTTCCTTCGTTGAGCACCTCTACACTTTTGATGGCGTGATTTTTCATGGCCATGTTCGGTATTGGGTCCTTGAATATGATGTTTCGATAGTCGTCATCCGTGGTAGGCAAACAAATATATCGTTTAGTTTCCTCTCACTCGAGGTAATTTCTTATTTTCATTAATGAAAAAGGCACGTTAAACCACTTTATTTCCAATGAATTAATGAGCGGAAAGAAAATATCAAAAATGATATCAAGAATATTTTGACAGCGTTTATTACCACACCACGATATCTGTGAATCGCTTGTTTTAATTCATCATTTCGAACCAAAATACAGGTAGCAGGTAGCATATGTAGTTCGTGTAACGGTTTTGAGGAAACGACGCCAGAAAGATAAAACACAAGAAATTTAAAAAGGGACTTATACTCACCAGTGCAACAGATGCATGGTGGGAGAATAATTACGGCAATTACGTTAAGAGCAATCTGAAATACAAACTTTTAACAATTTATCCTTTTTTATCGCAAAACATTCTCCAGTACGATAGAACGGCATTGCACATTATTGACATGAAGATTTACTTTGTAGCAACTTTAAGTACAGATGCTCAGCGGTACAGCATCGGGAAACGGAATCCGAAGGTCTGAGGTTCGATTCCTCCTTCTGATAGTTTCTAAACAAACCCAAACACCAGAGCCTGCTCTCCAGACGGCGGTAACAGGTCTTATTTGAGGAGAGACACCGCCGGTAACCAGCTTTTATTGAAACCTCTGTCCATGGTTAGCTGTAATCATCCCCTCTTCACATAATCATGCTAACATTGTGCTCATTTTATCTCTAATACTCATTTGTCACTACTCTGACTCCGACTCTAAAATCGTTCCTAAACTAATCCGTGCTGATTATTAACCCTTTGACCCTTAAGAATGACTAACATCTAATTTCTCCTCACATTATTGACCCTGGATCAAACATTAAGGTCATTTAAGGTTAATTTAGTTTTATCTTCCAGATTTCGAGAATTTTTGTCAGATTCTTCTTCAACGTCCGTTCGCGTGGGGAAGCGCTGGAATGCTGTTTAAATCAAGAGTAACAGAAGAGGATTTGACAATCATGACAAAACTCGCTCAAGGACACTTGGAGAAAGTGATAATCATTCTTAAACAGCTTCCACGGAGCATGCTGCTTGTGTTCAGGTGTGGATAGTGTTATTTCACTTCGAAATAACTTATTCTTGCCGCAGATTTTTTTGCACGTTTTCCTGACAATGGCACCATTCTTTAGCAAAGCCAAGTTCACTTATGTTTAATTTCTTTTGTTGACTTTTTGATGTATTTTTACCGTAGTAAACTGTCATAATTTGTAGATTTCCTTCAATTTAACAACCCGAAAAGCAAATCCTAAAAATTGTTGCGCAGCTTTATTAGTCGTGGACGTTGGATAGGGAAAAATATCGGAGCCCTTGATTAGGATCCAACCCCCCCTCCTCCCTTACCCCCTCTCCTTCCTTACCCCCCCTCCTCCCTTACCCCCCTCCTTCCTTACCCCCCTCCTCCCTTACCCCCCCCCCCTCCCCCCTCCTCCCTTACCCCCCCTCCTCCCTTACCCCCCCTCCTCTCTTACCCCCCTTCCTCGTGCGTGCACCTAAAGATATGGACGAACTCACGTCTAAATTAAAAACCTTACATGAGTTGGACGCCATAACCGCAGAACGAGCCAAAAGAAAGGTCTCGGTTTCTTGATTTCGTTCCCCATCGCATTCAAATTGTGAAAAATCGAAACTTTTTATGTATCAAAGATTTAAATTGTTTGTAAATAAACAAAGCTGTTAGGATTCCTCTTGTAGCCTGCAAACCAATGAACACTACGCCACTTTCGATATATGAAAATTCTAACATGGCTCCTCAGTTAGTGGGAATAAAACAAAAGAAATTTCACCTACTCATCCTTACATTTGGTATTTCTACAAACTCAGTTTGTAACATAATCACCTGATGAGCCATATCTACGAAATGGACCTTGGGCTTGACAATGTGTTTTAATGGTTTAAAGTGTAATATGTTCATCAATAACAGTGCAAGGTATTTACTTTAACAAAAGCTAAGAAAATACAAATAAAACCAATATATGAAGCATTTTAGAATCATCAACATTACGTTACATTGTACACTAAAACTTGAAATATTTGTTTTTCTGATAGCGTTCTTTAGAGTCAAAACATTGGGTAATTGTTTGGAGTTTCGTTATAGAAATCAAAGGGAACTAGAACTGAATTAGCGACTGTTGTTACTCTTCTGATATTGACATTGAAAAAATGAAGGCTTTGTGATGGCTTTGTGTTCCGTCAAGTGAAAATACGAGTCAAAAATTTAAAGAATCAAAACTTGTATAACCCAGACAGAAGGAGCATAGGAGTCGTGATGGCCATGATGACACAAGCCATTGAGATTCGAGAATAACTTTTTTGAATACCTGGGACCCACCCAAAATGTTATGGAGACAGGTTCTATTCAGTCGCTGCCCCCAGGCTGTAGAATGTCTCACTCATAGACCTTGAATTGAGTCCATTGGTTTCTGTTTTTCGAGAAAAGACGAAAGCGCATTTTTTCAGAGCTTCTTATGATTAACTGTCAATTTCCAACTAGGATAAGAAGCTTTTTGTATATATGTATCGCTATATGGATTAAGTCATTATTACTATTATGATGATGATTATTATTATTAGTTAACTGGCCAATTCTACAGAATCAACTGTTCCTATTTTGAAAAACACGCACAAAGAAGCAAGAAAAACCCCGAACAACGTTCCGCTAAGCTCCAATTTAAGAGTGATTGTTTAATGCTGAATATACCTGATCGAGACACTTGGTTTTTTTGTTAAGTTGCTGCTGTTTGTTGTGCCACAAACATGACAGTTCAGAAATCCTTTGGTCTTATTTTCATCTCGGTTCTCTTGAGGGAGTAATGATGTCCTTTCCAGTCTTTCCAGTTCACTCCGTCAGCATTGGAGGAGTGATTGCCACGAAGATACAAGCCATTGAGATTTGAGCTGTGACACTTATTGTACCACCAGGCTCCTTTGAACTTAATGGCGCAGTTGTGATCCCTCCGAATGTCATTATCTTGATCTCTAGTGGTGAATGGCATATCGCGATGCTTGGTAAGAGAGTCACCAGAATTTCCTGACAAAATGAGCCGCACTATGAGTATTACGTTTGACCAACAATGAGCTGTTCGTAATTCAAAAGAAATCTTAAAATATAAGATAAGTATAATTTAACAATGATAATATGGATTAAAAGCATTCTTAGTAATATCTATGATTCTTGTCGATGATTGTAGGGATTAAAATACTCAATATAATAATTACAATAAATATGTTCGCCGAGACACTCCTCAGATTTGGATTAGTTGGTCAGGTTAACTGCGAAAGATCCACCGACGAATAGATTTGGACTTATCAACGTCCGGTATGCGCCGTCCAGGATTGCACGGCGATGAGCTGAGGTTACTTCTTTGTCTTCCAAAGCTATTGATGTAAAAGATTTTAAGCATACTTACATTACTTAGCTCTCTCCTCCTCCTCCCCTGCCCCCCAACTTCTTAGAATGACTAGAATAGAGGAGACAAAACGACAGTTCTACCTGAATAAGAACCAAGGATCAGCTTGTACTTGTCTTTCTCACTCATAACACCAAACAAGTTATACTCAGCATAAGCTGTGTTTCCTTCAAAGTCTTCAAAATCCACACGCAGCGTGTTATTATCATCTGAGGTCAAGCGGTGAATCTTGTCCAGTCCGAGCCAAAACTCCCCACACAGGTCACCAAAGCCACGTTTGTAGTCGTTCCAGTAGCGGTAGAAATCAACCGAGCCGTCTAGTCTCTTCTGGAACACAGTCCATCCTCCACCCTCCGTTGTTTGGTCACAGAATACATCAAAGGCAGGCAAATTATCAGGTTTAATGGCGTAGACACCGTCAGCTGGTTTACCCGCGGATTTGTAGATTTCTGCGCAGTTTCTTTTGACTGAAAATCAGTTAAAAAAAAAAAAAACAAAAAACAAAACAACACTCCTACTTTAAATTGTTTGGATATTGAGTGCTTTTTGTTTGCTTTCCTGACTATTGATCTGGCTGATAAAATTTGATTCTGAACATTAACAAATACCATTTCTTCTTCCTAAATATATACCAGCCATATTCATTTAAAGTGACCGTACGTGGTGTTTCCTTTTTAGCTTTCATTCAGTGGTTAATATTTTTTTCTTGAAGTCAATTTTGAAACTTTAGTGAGTAACTCCTCGCGTACTACATGAGAGACTGGTCTACAGAATCCAGCCATTTTACCTTCAACTTGGCAGGTTTCTCCAGTGAATTTTTCCTGACAGACACAACGAAATCCTTTATTGGTGAATCCAGCTTGACAGGTGCCATTGTTTAAGCATGGGCTGCTGCTGCATAAATTCTGTTGACAAAAGAAAGTAAGCTATAGTGCAGATCTTCCTTATGTTATGTCTTTAGCCTACGAAAACGAAACAATCTCTTCTGGCACCTCGATTGCAAGATATGTGTAACCCGGATTTTTCACGAGAAGAAATGGAGCATGGTTTTCCTCTGTGGCGTTATTCAACTCGCATTTTTGGTTTCCTCCTGCAACAGGTCCAATATTGATGGACACACAATTAGGCTCCAAATAACACATTACTCTGCAACTTCCTTCGTTGGGCACCTCTACACTTATGATGGTGTGATTTTTCATGGTCATGTTTGGTATTGGGTCCTTGAATATGATGTTTCGATAGTCGTCGTCTGTGGTAGGCAAAACAAATATATCGTTTAGTTTCCACTCACTCGAGGTACTCTTTTATTTTCACTCATGAGAAAGGCACATTAGACCACTTTCTTTCAAAACTTTACTGCACGAGAACCCTGACGAATTTCCCCTAAGGGTGACTGTCATCTCTTGAAAATTAAACTTAACAAAAATCCATCTTTGATCGTGAAT